TTTTGAAATGTGCATTTGTGTTTGTTTCCCCCATCACATTATCTCTGGTCGTTTCTGTATGAAGTAGTAGCTTAAGTAGTACCTTCACGTGTACTAGTTGGCCATTACTGGCTGGAATTGCTGGTTAGAATACTGCATGTTGCTCAAGCTGAAATTCAAGCCATCCATAAGCGACTTGTCATTAAGGCCACCGTAGGCCGCAAACATATCAAAGGCATTGCTGTACTGCAGCGGGCTGAGGCTGAGCGAGCTGTCGCTGGGGAAAAGAGCACTCTGGCTGCCCTGGCCCTGCAGGCTGGGGAACACAAATTCCTTGGCATTGGGGGAGAGTGCCGAGGGCTTCTGGTGCTGCTGCTGCGGCGCGCCAAGGCCTAACCCGTACAGAGAGTGCATGGAGGTGGAGATGGCTTTCTGTTTCAGGAGACTGTTCACATTCAGGCCCAGGTTGGTGGGAGAGGTACGTGCCACCTTGTTCCCAGCACCACTGCCGCCATTGTTGCGTCCACTGCTCTTCATCTTAGTGGAGCCAAACTTGGTGGCAGCAAAGGTGGCTGTTGTGAAGGTTAAAGGCTGCGTGGAGCGGGGCATAAAGGTGGGGCTTACTGCTGCCGAGTGGCCAAAAGGTGGGGAGGGCGAGCTGGAACCCGGGGAGGCGCCATTCACAGGCTCGTTGATGGGCATGAAGACCTGCGCGTCTGGATTGAAACTGTTCTTGATCTCCTTGTCCAAATCAAGTCCCACATTGCTACTTCCACTTTCGTTGCTGTCGTCGACGTACAACACTTTGACGGGCCCCTTCTCCCCAATCTGGTAGGACACCTCATAGGGGTCAATCCACACACTGAGGTCCTGGGGAAGGTTGTTGCGGACATCTTCAATGTCCAGCCCACTCTCTTTGGCTGCCTTCTCCACCACGGGGTCAACCTTCTCCCCAACGTGGATGCATCTGAATCCTGAACCTTTGTATGGCTTGTCCGGGTACCAGTGTCCTTCATATTTCTGCTTCAGCTGCCGCTCCAGCTCCTCGCCAAAAATGTTGACTCGCCGCCTGGGCAGCTTGTTATACAGGTATGAGATGATGAAGTTGAGGGCTACTTGGATTTCAAGCTGCATAGCTAACTGCTGAAGTTTACCCAATGCAACAAGATTATTTGTGTCTGACCTTGAACGTGTCCACTGGGTCTGCTTTGTTTATCCGTGTTTGGCAGCACAGCTGCTCTCTCCAGTCGGGATGGCAAAAGTAACCAGAACTCGGATGAAACAGGTTGGGGGAAAAAAATCAAAATCAGAAGTGCTGGTTTTGTGTAAGTGGTGTCCTTCCACAGGGTGTGATATTTTTTCCTGCAAGAATTAAAAGTGGGGGAGGGACAAAACACATGTATAAGTACATGAAAATATATTTGGAATGATCATGCAGTATGGCTACACAGCTAAAACGAAGGGAGGAGGGTGCTTTAATTATTAAGCATTTGTTTTTAAAGCAGGTATGTTGTACTGTGACCATTTGAGCTCATAAATATGTAGGCTGTAAGCCATAAAATGGCCAACCAAAGCAGGATCTTAAAGGTAAAATAAACCAGAAAAGAGGAATATACAGAATATATTCTAATAATATAAATATATTCATATAAATAAACAGAAGAGGCACTAAAGCTGGGCTATACTGTTGTCAACCCTGCATCTAAATGTCAAGAAGTAGGCATCGTGCACATTAACCTCACACTAGGACTGAGAATCCTATTACATAATAGGCTTCTAGATATCCTCCTTACAGCAGGAGACAGGAAAACTACTGCGGGGTTACCGCATTTCATTATCCAAAAGGGTAAGCTTGACTTAGTGACTGCTTTGTAGATAATACCTAATGGTGGATAAGTTGGCAAAGAAACGATCCGGTTGGATTTCAGGCTTATAACCGTGCTACTGGGTTGGTATGGTATGCATACGGCACGGATTAGTCGAAGCAGTGTCGCCGAACAACCTGTCTGCGCCCATGTTTTGCAATTTTTGCGAAAGGATTTAGCCATTAAACATTTACTGAAACGAAGGCTGGATGCAGGCAGCACAGAAATAGCCCTCTTCTACCGAGAAGAGCTAGACAGAGAAGGTTTATAGGGAGTCAGCCTGTAGAGGCTGCTGAAATGCCCCAGAGTGGATTATTTTATTTCTCAGAGGGGGAAGCTAGCCCACACTGGAAAAAACCCCCAAAAATCTGCAGTGTCTACACCTCACTAATAAAGATTGGTCGCAGTTGTAGCTACAGGTCTTGGCTGGTGTTACAGTAAGAAAGGCATAATATTGCAGAAACTGCAGCGCACAGGAACAGACTGTACTGACACCACTAGAAAAAGGCGATACAATAAAAAAAAATAATAATAACAGGCTGCAGTGAAAATTCAACACCACATTTTCGATGTCTATGTGGAGGTATCGCTATGTGCTTACATAAGAATAGAGAAAAAAGGAGCACACACAGCCTATATACACCCCTCCCTAACTTCGTGAACTGACGCAGCAGATCAGCTTATAGTTAAGTATGAATAGAGCTACAGTACGAGTAAGAGCAATAATAAAGACAGCGACACACACATTAGCAGAAACAAGAGAGCTGGAGTACTTACTTTTTTGTAAAAAATAAAGATTCTCAGTAGTTCTTAAGTACCGTTAGTTAGTGCAAATAGGAAAAAAAAGTATAAATACTTTCTTCACATATAATAAATTATCAGCGTTACAAAAAAGTCTTCCAGTACACGTAGATTTTTGGAGGATTGGCGTTTACGGTTTTTTTAAGGTTATTTTTCGGTTTTTTGTTTTTTAGCTCTCCTCTTTCAGCAGGCTTGTAGAGTAGCTCCCTCCTTTCTCGGGAGTTTCGCAACTTCGTCCTCTTCTGATACGACGTCGCTCGTATTTATAGCTTTCCTCCGCCATGGGCACGAGGTAGGCGGTGATGCGGTTCCAGAGGTCAAAACAATGCAAGCGCCTGTGATTGGTCCGCGGCGGGCGTCCCGTCCTCTTCGTGACGCCCGAGGCGAGCACTGATTGGCTGATCGGCGCTGTCAAACTCGGACAAACGGTCCTGTGAGACGAGAGAGACGCCTGTGATGAGGAGTTTGCGTCAGAGATAGCCTAGGTCTGTGCTGACAGCAAAAGGCAAAAGTCCTAATTAATGTTATTCACTAGCAGTATTATGTAAAGAGATCGAGTTGACTTGAAACAAACATAAAGGTGAAACTGTGGCACTTCCGGGAAGTAAATATTTTATAATAACCCACCCAGCAGGTTTTAATCGTCGCAATCAGATAATATTTAAGACTAACAGCTCTATGCCATGCTGATACCAGAAAAAGGGGCCTTAAAATAATTTGCGCCTGCATTTCGTCACAGAATAGTCACAAAGCCCCCCCCCCCCCCCCCTTTTTTTTTTTTTACCTGCCACGAAAAGCTGCAGGATCTGTGATAAATGTATAACGCCTGAGAGGAGATTCCCCACAGCGGAACGATACAGCTGGCAAGCAGTGTGGGTTGTGCTGCATGCTATCTAGAAAACACAGGCGCTGATTGGTCTAAAATGGGGCAGGAACCATACTGTGAATGGTGTACCCGTATCCAAGGTGCTGATGTAGGCTGCGCACGTCATCGCTCGGCTGAACGCACGCTGTTGCCTAATTTAAAGTGAACCTGCACACACACAGGTATCTGCTCAAGAAAGGAAGAGTCGCTGGGGCTTTAAAAGCCTTTAAAACCACAATAAGGAAAACGTGCTTTCTCCTCATGATTAATGGTGTTATGTGAAACGGAAATAAAGGCGTTATCCTGATTCATTTACTTTGCTGACAACTTTGAGGTCGTATAGATAGATAGATAGGTCGCCTTATTTACCATGGCAGCAGTGCTTTTTATTTTTTTAAAAAAGTCTGACAGAGTGGACATTCTTATGTTTCCCAAGCGGAGTCATGTGCTTGATGTGAGCTGTAAATGCGAGCAAACAGGGCTCCTGTGGAAAGTGCTTTAGGGAACAAGACATGACAGATGAGGCAGGGGTGGCTGAAATAGAGGGGGGATTATACGATTTGACATTGCCCAGCAGATTCAGATTCACCATCTATCTTAAAGTGGAAGTGGGCGGGTGAGTGAGTGGACTGCCAGCCAGCAGCACTGTGTTTTGCAGCAAGCCTTGTGGGCTGTTTTCACTGTAAAGATCTCGGTGTCACATGTCCTCCAGAATCACTTCCATATAGCCATTCTGCTGGGGCTCCTTTTTATGGTATGGTGTTTATATTGTGTATGGCTCCTGTGCTTTTTCCCCCACTAATGTGTACACAATTTGTGCCCTTGTGATGTTTGGAGTGGCAATAAAAGACATCAGCTGACAGAGCAAGGTCAGCAGCTATAATCAGGCACATTAAGACTGCTATATTGTCTTAGAGTGTAATCCTCTAATCATTGGAGTCCAGTGTATCTGCCACTCACTGCTGCTTCTGTCACATGAAGATTTCTAGTTCTCCCCTGAAAACAGTGTCCAGTCTAACTTTGTGCCACGGAAATGAGAATATAGGCAGTTACGTGAGTAATTTAGCAAACGCTGCAGCTCAGTTGCCTTGTTGTATGGAAATCCAGCTCATCAGGGCTTAAGCTGACCTTCCTGTGGAACTTTGCAACAAGAAAGGAGAAAAGGGTATTTTAAAGTTTACTAACCCATCTCTCAGCAAACTGAAGGGCATCTTTTAAGTATTTACAACAAGGTCTTAACCTAGCACTCCTCTAGCACCAGAAGACAACACGGTGTTGCCCATCCTTCACTGCTGTCCTTTAACAAAAAAACACAAGCCCCTGATGTGAAGTGACTACATACCATAATAATCCACTTCTGCTTTCCTCTGAATGGTTTGTTCAAAGTAATAAGCGATAAGAAATGGGAAAAAAGACAGTCCAATAATGTGCAATAATGTAAAAGGCATTATCCTCTTAGCAACGAGGAACTTAAGGGCTGTGATTAAATAACCATTTGCTTTGTGTTTATTTAAGGTCTACTTTTATAGAGCAGTGACACAAACAAACAGACACACAAGTGGAGGAGGATTTCTCACACACTGCTGCTTCCCTGTCTGCCTTCCTTTCCTTTTATCCCTCTTTCTATCCACACCCCCCCCCCCCACACACACACACACACACACCACCACCACCACCACCACCCCCACCCCCTCCCAACAACCACCATCACCCTCCCTCTTTCCAGCTCAGACGGAGAGTCTTTGACGTCACAGGCTGTCATTACTTAACACAAGTCTGCAGAGCGCCCTGTGCTCCTCGTAATAGACAGATGCTTTGCTCTCCCCTTTGAAGAGCAAATGAGGCAGTGGGTGAGACATGCAACGGAGGAGACGGCGAGGAATACAGTCGGTGTACGCTCAGGCGCTGCGATCGAGACTTGTAGTGTATTTTGTCTTTGTGCCAAAATGGAGAAAACAGAAGCTGAGATAGTTGCCAAAATTATCATCTTAGAGGAAAGAAGTCCCCAAAATTATCATCTTAGAGGAAAGAAGTCCCCACTGAAAGAAGAGCTTATATTCTCTCAAGAGCCTTTGACAATAAACATTTAGCAGGATATAATCATACTTGTGTTTCCCTTGATGCAAGTTATTGTTAACTAACTAACTAACCGTATATGCTAATTAACAACCCATCACATGAAAATCAAAAGGCTGTGGTGGATGATCATGATCAGAGCCCTCTATCCTGTTGGGGGCTACCTTTTCCTGGACAGCAATGCCCTGTCCAGAAGCTACAGGGAAGCAACAAATATTTTAACAGGGCCAAAGTTATGAGAATCACATGCTATGGCCTTCACAGTCATTAGAACTCTAACATCAACATTAGATTTTGCATCACCGTGTCATGCAGCTTTTCTGAAGGACTCATGGAGCCACACAGGAACTGAACAACTCATTAAGACAATTCATCTTGGTTTTTCCTTTAATTCTTCCTACTGTAAAACTGTAGCTATTGACTGAAAAACTGTCAAATTGCAGTTAAATATTTAATTCAATTTCAGTGTTATCTATATAGCACCAAATCACAATAGCAGACACCTAAAGGTCCTTTATATTTTAAGGTAGATACAATACAATTTTACAGAGAAAACAACAACAGTCAAACAACTGCCTATGAGCAAACACTTGGCAACAATGGGAAGGAAAAACTCCCTTTTAACAGGAAGAAACTGTTGGTAGAGTCAGGCTCAGCGAGGGGCAGCTATGTCTCTTATATGTCTGGTAAGATGATAGAACACAATAAGTACATCCACATTAAACAGGACAAGCTAAAGCTACACTTTTCATTCATTCGACATATTTAATCTACATAAATATAAATCTCACTGAGATCTGTTTCTGAGTGTTTACATCAGCGTTTCATGGCAGTATCAGCCAGTCTCTGTGGCAGCCTTTCAGCTGTGGCTGTCCATTAAACATCATGCATCAGTGGCTCGACTATGAGTCACGCTGTGTGCATACGCACTGAGGATTTACACGGCACGGTATGTGTAAATACAGAGGTTGTGTTATGAGTTGTCACGACATCGACGTAAACGCTTTTCTCTCCCGCACAGCCGCCTTTAAAATCCACAGAGGCTGTTACATAATTCATCCAGGAGCGGACCGCTGGGACGACATCAATAGATCTATGTGCTATCTGCATAGATGGGGGGGTGGGGGGTGTTAAAAAAAGCATCTTAATACAGCCAACTGTAAGCTCTGTAAAACGGCAGAAAAAAGAAAATAAAAGATACATATTTATCTGAACTGTTATGTATATATTTTATGTTTTTATAGTTGAAGTTTGCTGTCGCTTCTCTGTTTCTGTTTTCGTGCTGAACAGCTGCTTCACATTCATTTCTTTTACTTTGACCTTGTAGCGCTGCTCAGAAAAAAGAACGTGCTTCAGCTTTAACTTGGACTAAATAGAAAACACACATTCACACACGCGCACACACACACACACATACACACACACACACACACACACACACAAACGAGCAGGTGAACCACCCCAGACTGATATTTCCCAGGAATGGTTCCTCGTGTGAGGGCTTTTTAAAGCTAACTATCCTCACCCTCTATTTCTATTGATTTTGGCTGATTTACAAGGGGGAAAAAGGGAAGGAGGAAGATAATCAATCAATGCGATAGCTCTGTGTCAACTCAACAGAACATGCATGCTGGGTCTCTTTGCACATAAATTCCCTCATATGATCAAGTGACACCCCGTTTGCCTCGTGGAGAATCAATTTAGTAATGAGACATGGATGGCTAATGGAAGATATAAAAAAAAAAGTGCAGAGGAAATTCTGATTCATTTATACAGTGACAAGGTTCATCACTTTTTGTGGTAGATTATGTTGCTAGTTAATATATATTATTACTTTTCTGCACTCTTCTCTCTCACTAATCATCCATTTGGATGGCAACACAGTTGCTCACAGTGTGCACAGGATCTGAAAGGAGGGGTGGAAGGTCCCCTGTGTGGTCTTGTACATACTCCACATGAGTCAAACAGCAGGAAGTGGATGCGCTCCAAGTTGGCAATCTAAATAGTAAACAAATAGAGCTGGGTAGACGCTCTGCAGCTTGTTAATTTAAAAAGAGAACAATGCGTTATCAATAATTTACAGTGGCTCGATGCCACAGCTTGGCAAAAAGTGCAAATGTGTAGCCGACAGGATGACAGACACAGCCTGCAGATCCTAAATTTGTAATATTTCTAAAATCAACGAATGATTTTACTGAGTTGTTAAATTCTCTGCACATGTTCTTCTTCAACGACAAGCCTGGATTAGATATAAGGACACTATCTTTTATATTTTAATATATTTATTTTTAATGATTCTGTTTGCTTTTCATAAC